AAAATACATATTAAAACTGGCAGGAATATGTGGATTCTGTAATGTTAATAATGTACGTAACATCAAACTAACTTGTGAGTGACATGAAGCCATAAAATTGAAGTACAAAATACTCGCTCGCCATGTCATAATTGTCCTTAGGGTTTCCAAGCACTATACATGACACATGAATGGCAAGCGCTGACGTAACGTACTGACTGCGCGTTCTGATAAAGCCAACTACATAAGTACGGCTAGGGTGAATCACGGCACTCAAGGACAAACACAGATAAGGCCTCTCAGCTGATAGGTACAGTGCGTGGACCTGCCAGAAGACCACACTTTTCTTGGGCCATTATCTCCGAAACCGTTCAACTTTGGACATAGGTGTTTTGGGTTATATCGGCATACTTTAACATAAGGAACACCCTCCCGAAGTTTGGTCCATTCCTCCTGGGACATCCTGTATATATATGCATGGGTGTGCGCTTTGCTAGCGCCTCAACGAATGGACGGATTGTGTTCGTATTCTGCATGTAAGAGTTTCTCCATCATACTTCGGTCACTGGTGAGTATAACAATAAAGATACAGAAATATGACAACCCCCTCCCCATCAACCCTGAGAAACAGATTGGCGATTTTCTCGAAAACGGCTCTAATGTTTTAGATTACATTTCGGTAATTTGTGGAGGCCACCCCCTTAAATAAAACAGAATGGGTGTTATCTTCAGAAAAATAACGCTAAATGTCGATATTGTCAAAACTTGTTTCACCAGTAGGGCGGATTTTATTGTTCTTCGGTTATCAGTATAAAAACAATGGTCCACTAAGAAAAAATCAATTTCGTTGCCAAAGTAAGGTAATGTAGTCATGGTAAATAGTAAATGCGAAATCATGTGCAATGTCTTTGCGTCAAATTTGTAAACGGCCAAAAAGTTAAACAACAACATAAGCATAACTTATCAGAAGCTGTGGAAGATGATGTGCCATCCAGAATTAAAATATTATACCATCAACTACATCTAGACCCTAACTGTATACAGCAGATAAGAGCCATGAGAAAAATATTTAACAATAAAACAATAGAAACAACAAAAAATATTGAGCAAACACCACAAAGAATGAGTAATTTTTATTATGCATATTTTAACTTTGTGCATAATTATTTTATTCAGTTCGATTTCAATTTGTATCATATTCCTTACTTTCAGCCTCCACTGTGTAGATAAATAATATTAACTGAACTTTAAAATGTGTAATATGTAAGCTGGATGCTGTTTCCTCACCTGATATACTAGAGGTGGCAATATTTCTCACTTTAGTCAATCCATCCTTGGTGGGTTTCCTCTCTAAAACCACAGCTGATGGAGTGGATACACTTTCAATTTGGACTCCGCCCCCTCCAGCATTCCCACGCAGTTGCTGCTGAACTGTAGCAGCAACAGTGGAAGCCTCCAAAATGACCCCCGAATGTGGCTGTTGTGGTGGGCTTGTGCTGTGATTCCCATGTTGCTGCTGCTTCCTTCCCTTCCCGTCTGCTTCCTGTTGTTGCTGGCAGGATTTCTTGCCTGACACCTGGTAGCTAGGAGATCTGCAGCACGCAATAGATCTGCACATGTTCATTTTAGCTGCATGTTCTTTAATGTATTAGTTAGCATATACTAAAAAAAGTTAAAACAAGAATAATGATGGTTAGGAGTCTGGTGGGCCCAGAATTTGTTCCATAAATGGTGATGAGAATAATTCCCATTGACTTTGCCAAAATTGATACCTGGATGTCCAGTTTGCAATCAGTCACTGTTCAGGGAACTGACATGGTTCCATCAGTTAATAATGGTAAATTGCATATGGCATTCATATTGAAATATTTTAATCAACAATAACAACAACAGAGATAACAGTAAATCCAAGGAGTTGTTATATTCAGTTTACAAACCTTTATTGCCTCATTTCCTGGCCAGCTAATTAAATTTCATAAAGCATTCTGCTGTGGGGTAGGGTAAAATAGTAAATGACTTTCAGATACCTCTTGAAACAAATTTTTAATCACCATCATACAGCACAGTTCTTTTTAGGAAATATTAAGTGTCATATGTTTGTAAATAAAAATGTTTTACTGAGTGCTAGAAGATTAGATGACATCACTGCAAACAAGTGACATTTCTTGCATGTGTAAACATACAAGTGTAAGTGCATAAAGTAACAATTACAGGTTTCCTTTTATAGATGGAAAAAGATTGGTAAAAGTGTCTGAAAGGAAAAATCTGTACTATATTTACTGTAAAAAGAATATGTGCACACAACATTCTAAAGAGAAAATGGGGAAATGCTGTGCTAAAAGGCAACACAGTCAGAGCACTGAAATGTACTGGATGGAATTGGTGACAACAGCAATGCAGACTGGAATCTTGTGATTCCGGTTTCATAATACTGAAACAGACTGGGTTGTAGGGAGCACCAGAATTCTGTGGAGCAGCTATGTATTAAATAATTATCAATCCTGTTATATAAAAACAAAAGTGTTACGCAGGATAACAGAAAATCGCATTTTCGTTTAGGTTTTATTAACTGTTCATAAAAATTATCGAAAAAATATTACTTTGCATTTGGGTTAAACTGATAGTTTATGCAAAGCCCTAAATATTCTTCTTTATAGCGTATAGTGCGCGTGCGCGTGTTCTGAATGTTCTTTCCATGGGTACCTGCAGGGCTGCAGACACTGAGGATGCATCGTGGTCTTTCTCTTCTATCTGTGATGTTTGTTTTTGCTTCTGTCTCTGAGAAATACAAGTTAATGTCAAAGCAATATATGTAAAGGAATACGACAATGTAAAATAATTCTTAATATGGCTAGAATGTCAANCACATATACACGGTGCCAAATCCCAGAAGACTGCTTTCTTCATAGTCACCGCCGTGAAAGCCTCAAATCTTACATAGTTTAGGCCAGTTTGGCGAGCTGAACATATTCACTGTCGTGTGGAAGTGTACTATCAGCAACAATCTCATAAACAAAGCTTTGTTTATGTTCGAGAGTACGTAACTTAAACGTATTTTACGCATCCCCTTTAACCCTATAACGCTACCCCCTTTGTTTTCTCTCGTGGTCGAACAACTGACGTCATCGGAACGATGCAATGACGCAGACGGCATGGATCTCTCCCCTCCCCTCTTCACTCCAGGGCACTCGAACTCACGAAGAGCATTGTCAAGTTCTCGCCAGAATAACGGAACATAAAAAGAACTCAGCGGATGAAAATGCGTAGGCATGTCAAAGTGCAATGTAAATCTGGACCCGTGACTGAATTCGAAAACAGCGACGATGCTTTAAAGACAACGAACATAAACAGATAATGCGGGTCACAGAATGTTAATTTTAAATTCTTGACGCTACTGAGTTCAGAATCTTTAATCTTCTTGCCATAGCTTAACATCCAACGATTAAAAGACACTGAATTATGATTTTGCTAACTTTTTAATAAACATATGAAATTTGGTATTTCACTTTTCGGAAGAACAAATATTGGAGGTAATGTTAAATTCTGATGAAAATGTTCGGTTGTAACAGACAAAATAACAGGAGGATGGAGAAAAGTGCACATTAATGGGCTTCATAATTCGCACATTTCATTTGAGTGATCAAAACATGGAGGATGAAGAAGCGGCCGAGATAGAAAAAATACATATAATCACTAGTCGAAAAACTAAAGGAGATTGCCTGGAACATTTAGTTAGACGTGGATTAGAGGATAATATGCCGAACAAGATACCAGCATAAAAGCAGGTGACAAGTAGCTCGCCTTATTCTTCGACCCTGAAGACGGAAGCGATATGTTCCTTCAAAACGCCAGCTGACCTTCAACGAACTATACGGGGTTATATCCTAGAAGACAGTATTCTTCATAACCACTGCTGTGAGAACCTCAATCCTACATAGTTTAGTTTAATACTACGTTTCCATTTCTCGTTCAGTATGTCGACAGGAGGGACTAGCCAGCGTGGCAAGTGTACTGTTGACAGAGTTAATCAAGATTAGGGTTGTAACACTGCACGCGGTTACAAATCTTATTCCCGATAAAGCTACCAACAGACACAAATCTGACGTGTAGTTAAGCGGATAGCCCTACTACTTTGTACAATAAAGATCAAGGCTTCAAGTCTCGGCTCGTAATCTGGCTAACATGACTGAGGTACCTCGTGGATTTCCTCAGTCCCTCTAGGAAAATACAGGGATATTATTTCAAACTAGACCATGAATTCAGCACTCATTGTTCATTCTACTTTCCGAAGTGATATAATCAGTCACTGAATCAGCCATAAATGTTTAAACAGTAGAGTTTTTCAAAGTATTTCGTAACATTATTAGAGAAAATTAACACGTAGCACACATGCGGGAGATGAGAAATGCAATCACAATTTTAGTCGTAGAATATTAAGGCAAGGGGCAAATGGGGAGAATTATATATAGGCGAAAAGATAATATTAAAGTGGATCTTAAAAATATGTTAAGATTTGGACTGAATTCTTCTGAATCAGCACGAGGTGCGGCAGCTTGTTCCTGTTAATATGGTGATGTAATTCTGTGTTCCGTAAAAGGTGGTGAACTTCTGCAGCAGCTGAATGACTGTCACCTTCTCAAGAAGAACCGTGCTCGATTGAGTTAGTTTTATTTCGTTACATGTATTTTACATCGAAAAAATATTCTAATATGCCTCTAGGCCTAAGCCACACATCTTAATGAGACCTGCGTTTTACGTCACGAACCCACTACACCTTCGATCAGCCATCTCTGAGAAATGTACTAACGTTCGCTTTGAGCTTCATTTAAAATAGGAGTTATAATGGTTCGACAAATACAGAAATGAAATTCTGCCGGCAACTCTAAACTCAGGTCTGCCTTGCTGCGTTCACTCAATTAAACTGTTCGGGAGGCGAAACAAGCGGACGGGAATGACACCTTCACTCTGTGATCAATTTATGCACTGAGTGCAAGAAAAATACAAAATAAGAAGATATCAGATCGTTTCCCATGAGAATACTGCGGCGTCCTCCCTCTGTTTAGAGTCTCTAACGGGTCTTTCGCTGAAGAGAAAGCTCTATAGACAGCATATAAAGAAAACTGGCAACATCTATGTTCATTTATGAGGATATGGAAGACAGTAGTCATGACCTGTCTCGATATCCCTGTTTTCCTTGTATTATGAAAGAACTATGAAAACTCCGACCCCCCCCCCCCAAGTTCATTTAAAGACTATTCAACATGTATATTATCAATTTTTACTGGGTTTCCGAAAGGAAAACTGCCTTACCTATGAGATCATGCATGTTTTCCATCTGTGTATGTGCCTCATGACGACCTGTTAACAAACTCTTCAATGTTGGTCGAACTAGGTACAAATTTGCATCATTAATGGTAATCCTAACACGAGGATTGAGACCTTTATTGGATGTGACATATTAGTTGGCCATTTATAGGAGGGTTCTGAACATCTGTATCAAAACGGATCTCTTAGAAGTATCAGTCGTTCATGGTCAACCACTGTTACAATAAATATGATTCGTCTAATATCTTGTTTCCTTTTCACCATCAATGTAACAATTCCTTTGTAAATGTGACGAAATATTATAACTTAATGAGGTACGGATATAGCACAAGATAAAATGCACTTGTCTGGATAAAACTGAGATTTGGGAACGTGTAAGGAGGCTCAGTGTCAGCACACATCTCACCGAATTGCGTTTTCTATGCGCTTATTTTACGAGATCAAAATAAAGGCCCGCATATGTGCTGTATCAGTACATTTCATTCACGGAAATATTGAACACGCATCATACTGCAATTTCAATTTGGTTTGCTCTCCATACTAAACGTTTTTTTGTGAATCTCATTTTGGTAAACATAAATCGGATCTAATACAGGATGTCCCAGGAGGAATGTGCCAAACTTCGGGAGGGTGTTCCTTATGTTAAAGTATGCCGATATAACCCAAAACACCTATGTCCAAAGTTGAACGGTTACGGAGATAATGGCCAGAGAAGTGTCAAACTTTGACCGCTGTTACACACTTGTTGATTACAAACTACATATTAAAACTGGGAGGAATATGTGGTTTCTGTAATGTTAATAATGTACGTAACATCAAACTAACTTGTGAGTGACATGAAGCCATAAAATTGAAGTACAAAATACTCGCTCGCCATGTCATAATTGTCCTTAGGTTTCCAA